GCGCAGCTTCCAACAGGAGTCATTTGGGGGGGCTCTTGGGAAAAAAAGTTGGGAACCACTGCCTTATGAGATGACTAATGCAGCAATCATATTTAATAACTGAAATGTATCCCTTGTGTTTCTGCCTTGAGAAAATAATAAGTACACAATGTACGTCTCTTTTATTTCTCCCACTTCTCCTCTCTCCTCATGTTCAAACTCTCAGTCGGTGTATGGTTTGGTGGAGGAGGGAACACAGTCTCAGAGCCCCATACACGCTCCCTCACACCACTGCAGGAAGGGCACCAAAGAGGACGTAGAGAAAGAGGTAAAAATGTGTATTTGCGAGAAACTTTAGTTGCTATATAATTTTTACCCCATCATTTAATTTGAAGCATTCCATGGAAAGTTGACAGTCTCTCCACTGCATTTTGCACTCTACTATGTACGTTTGGCAGGAACTGCTACTTTCTCAAAAAAACAAGACAAGCACAAATGCAGCTGGCTCATGGGAAAATAGGTCTTAATAATAAGAAACAGTAGCACTTACATTTCCACTGAGGCTGCCAACCAACTCAAACATGGTCTTTCTCTCTTATTTTATCAATAGAGTTATACCTCCACTGTTATTTTAGAAAATTGTTTACTTTCCGGTTTGTTTGCTGTTCTCGTACAAACTCAGCAAACACTGCCATCTGTCGTGTCCTCTTTCAGATCTTATTCCTGAACACCCAGATTGATCGTCACCGTATGAAGATGTCTAAAGTGGCTGAAAGGTAAACTAAACTCTCACACAAACACTGAACAAGTATGTCTTACCTTGTGAAGGAGACACCATCCTTTTTCATTCAGAGGCTCTCTCTCTATAATCAGACACATTGATGCTGACTTCCCTTTTATTAAATCTGTAGAGCAGTGGTGTATAGAGGAGACTTGTTGTGAGACTTCATCTGTACCTCTGCTGGTTTATCAGTCATGGATACATAAGAAGGGCTTTGCTTCTACAGCGTTTGTGCCGTTGATGTTTGTGTAAGGGTCTGACTAGGGTGGGTTGCAGGGTTTAGTAGGTTCTGCTTTCTCTCCATAGATGTCCTTAGGCGCGTTCACACCGCAGTACTTTTCCCAAAAAGGTTAATCAGAACTTAGTTTATGAGAACTCTTTAGTTCTCATGAACTAAATACAGATCGCGTTCACACCGGAATAAGTCCCTGAGGGAGGATTAGGCAAATGAAGCCGCTGACGTCACTTCTTCTTCTTCTGCTTTGGGTTTACTGGTAGGCCGCAAACAACTTCACGGCGTATACTGCCGCCCGAAGTCCCCGGCCGGAAGTCCCCGGAGTTGGGGACTGGCTTCAGTAGAAGCCGGTCCTTCCGAGGTCCTTCCGAGTCCCTCCGAGTAAATCGCCAGAACGCCGACACCTCCNACCTGCTTCCCTCTTATACTGGGGACAAGCCTCAGTGAATTATTCAAAATAAAGGCTTTCAAATGTTAAATGTGGCTATTTGAAGTCCTTCTTTACAGGTTTCTCACTTAATTTAATAAGTTATAGTTACAAATATTATATTACAAGTGTGC